ATTGTCCAAACCTTTACCTCTTAGCCCTGCTCAGTCCATCATCATCATCATCAAAAATACAAAGAGTAAGGCACAACTATAAGCCCACCAATGCAAGACTGTCCATTTAAACTTACAGGCTGAGCAAGGAGAGCACTGATCAGAGATGCAAATGTTCCAAGTTGCCCATGGTGTCTCTGGACCAACTGCAGAGATCCACAGCTCAGATAGGTGTATCTGTTCACCGGACAAATGTTAGCTTTGCACCACATAAATGTGGTCTTTATGGAAGAGCGGTAAGAAGAATGCTATCATTAAAAGAAAACCATTAACTTCCCTCTGGTAGGAGGCTGCGGTCCATCAGGACCAAAACCTCGCGCCACAAGAACAGTTTCTTCCCATCCGCTACCAGCCTTATCAACAAGACCCTGTGACACTGCCTCTCTCCCTCTCCTGTTCAGGGAAGAAGCTACACCAATGTAGCTTTTCCAGATCTCCTGCTTTACATTATCCCACACTCAACTGTGTATATAGTATATAGCTATGTACATTATATTGCATATTATTTTATGTTTTATATTGTATAAAGCTATAGATTCTGTATTCTGTATATGTATCTACTTTATCTGCACCATCAACACCTAGTCAAATTCCATGTAAGTGCAAACCTACTTGGCAATAACAACTTAACCAATGTCAAATATGATGGTAGCAGCATCATGTTTTGAGGATGCTTCTCTCCAGGAGGAACAGCAAAGATGGTTAGAGTTGACGAGAAGATGGATGAAGCCAAATATATGGAGATTTGGAAGAAAACCTTTTGGAGTCTGCAAAGATTTGAGACTGGGGCAGAGGTTCAACTTCCAGCAGGACAACCTCCCTAAATATAAAGCCAAGGCTACAGTGGAATGGTTTAAAACAAAACATTTTCTTTTGCTGGAATGGCCCAGTCATAGTCTTGACCTAAAGTTATACGAGAATCTGTAAAGTACTGTTCACAAAGGCTCTCCATCTAATCTTACTGAACTTTGAACAATGTCCTATTTAGTTTTTAATTTGTTAGATATAAATTACCTATTTTTCTTTCTTCCTCACAATTCTACAGCATTTTGTCTTAATCCGTCTTATAAGATTCCAACATGAATACAAGTTAAAGTTTTTAATTGGACAAAATGTGAAACAATTGAAAGATTAACTTTGAAACAGGAGAGAAATGTCAATAACGGTACAGTACAGATAAGGAACATCTTTAAAATGTTGCTATTTACCGGTAGCTTGTTACTTAAAAACAGAAAAGAAAAAAGACCCAAATCCTTTGAATTTCCACTTTGGAATAGCTTATAATTCAAATCTAAGAAAGTCATAAATTCGTTGTGTAGTGGCAGCTGTTTCGTGTAATTTTTGTTTGTAAACCTTTTTATCCTGAGGAGTATTATGAGGAGGCTTACTTTGTTTTTATTTTATTTGTTGTAATTACTCTAAACTTTCTTATCTGTTTTCCTCTCCTTGTCAGCCGGCATGTTCATGGGTCCTTCTCAGATGCAGTTTCCCGTCCAGCCCGCCCAGGGCTATCAGGGCTTTCCAGGCATGGCTACAGCTGTACCACCCACCACTGTCATGGGCGCAATGATGGCCCAGAGCGGAGCGACCATGATGGGGCCCAATCCCGCCATGATGGTGGGGATGACGATGCCAAACGGCTTCATGGGAAATGCTCCCACTGCTGGAATGATGGGGATGGCCCCCAGAATGATGGGACCGCAGGGTGCTGCGATGCCTGCAGGCATGATGCCCGCTCAGGGCATGTATGCTATCCAGCCGGGACAGCAAGCTCAGTGGAACATGGGTCAGGTATGGACACTGTTTTCCTGTAATATTGGATTAAAACTGAGAACAACGTTTGATCTAAAATGCAAATTGTTGGTGTTTTGTGTTGTGTTCAAGTGCTTTGGTTCTATTGGCTTAAATTAATCTCCCACATTCCCACAGTGCCCCACAATAACCACTAGATGGCAGCAGTCTTAAAGTTTTAGGAATTAGGCTTAAGCCTGTGTTGAGCTCATAAATCTATTGTTTAGCTGACTGTTTTTCAACACTAACAAGATATTTGATTATCTTATGTTGTAGAAAGGAAGCATCAAGATGCCTATCTCTGTATGCCATTTTTATTCACAAAAAGTGGTGGCACAAAGTAGTCCAGCAGCAGATTACTGCACATTACTCTGTGTGTGTGTCTGAGGCTCTGAGTTTATACGTTTGGGGTTTCTCTCTGTGTCCTCCTCAGGTGAACCAGCAGATGTCAGGGATGACCCTGAATGGTGCCGGAGGCCAGATGGCCTTCGGTCAGCCTCCACAAGCCATGGGCGGTTGGACAGCCGCCGGATCTGGTCAGACTCTGAGCACACAGCTATGGAAGTGAGCCCACAGGGGAGGAGGGGGGTCAGAGGTTGGGCGAAGTAGTTGAGGTTTCAGAAAGTGCAAAAGATAATTTGTGCTTTTCTGGACCTTACTATGAACTGATACCCCTATCCATCAAGGACCAGCCTTCAGAACATGACAATTGTCTCTCTCTCTTTTTTTTCTTTCTCCCTTTCTGTCTCTCTTTCTCTCTATTGTGTGAGTGAATTGGGAGTAATACAGGATTACAGTTTGGCAGTTTCTGCCTCCTAACTTTTATTTTCCTTTTTTGGAAAAAAAAACAAAATATAAGGAAAAAGTCCCAACATCGACATATCAGTAAAGCTGCAGGACCAGTTACATTAGCTTTTATTGTATCTCTATATCGATATCAGATTATAGAACATTTAAATAATTAGTATTTAAAGGGAGGAGATGTGACCTACGAGTCAGCCAGTGCAGCTTCCCGATGTACAGCGCTGTATAACCTTCTTTTAAAGTACTTGTGGTTCCCCTATGAAATTAAACTGGTAAAACTTCTGATTGCACTTGTTTTCTGTCACTGAATTTTTGTTCTTAACCAATAAAAATAAATTTAAATTAGTTGGTTGATATTCAGAGATAGCAAATAATGACATAAAACCTGTATGTTTTGGTTCAAATTATAATTTTCCTATTTTGTAGAATCGATCTCATGCCATTGGACGGTTAGAAGCACCGAGGCAACAGGAAAATGAACAGTTCTTTTGTTTTGTCTCTCCTAATTTATTTCCAACTAACTGCTCTGTAAAATCTAGACATCCTCAGGACAAGTTTGGATTGTCCACAATGATTTAAACTAAAGAATAACTATAGAAGATGTAACTTATTGGCTCAATGGGCTCATACATAACTGCTTGAACTAACACACATATACTGCATTGTCTAAACAAACTAAATTATCTGTTCTGACGCAGGTAAACTTGTCTCAAACCTGTCTCATCCTGTTCTTAATGTATTATTTTAAATGATTTTCATCCTTTGCAGCTAGAACAGATTTCATTTCCATAAGGTCTAGGGGTTATTTTGGGGAATTCTGACTATGTTTGATGTTGGACAAGAAGGCTTGGCCTCTGGGTCTCTGCTCTAAGGTTTGTCAGCTGTTAATAAACATGTTCAAATTGCAGCATTCATGTGGGAAGCTCCCATTTTGGAGAATATTTTTAACATTAAGAGGACCCAGCTCTGCCTCGCTTACAAAAAACGTAAAAAATATTGAAGGTTTTTTACATTCAGACTTCCTTTGCATGAAGGTCAGTTCACATCTGCTGCATTTCCATTACAAATGTATACCAAACTATACCCATATTCAGCTTATTTTGAAAAAGCTAATTTTAATAAATTTTTTTTAGAATTTCCATTCAATAAGCAATACAATAAAAATTGCATGTTGGTATGTGTGTTTACGTGATAACTATAACAGTATAGGAGCGGTGGATGTAAACGCATCAGATTTATCCATATTTCAGCCACGGCTCTAGTGCTCATCACGCTTATCATCTCAAACAAAATAGAAACGATAATCCATCTTCTCATGATTCTAAATAAGCCACACAATCACTCTCCAAATACTTCCAGTCTTCTATCAGTCTTTCTATAAGGTAGTCAGGTCCACCTGCAGATCATGTGACTCCTGTGATGCGAAAAGTGCACCATTGCAATTTTTGCATATAGAAGAATTTCAATAAGACTGATAAACCACCTCATCAGATCATAAAAACTTTTCATTGAAAAACATTTTTTTTTTCAAAGCTGCAATGTTTCCATTTAGCAAATTTATTTTTGTAATTAAAATTGCTCAATTTGATGGTTAACAGCGTAAAACTAAGATGTAGCTTGGGTAGTTTCTGCCGTCACTGAGCTCCAATATCGCTAGTGTAGATTTTCATATCTCCCAAGTCTCTCTTTAAAGATGATTATGCCACATTTTCCTCCTGTTAGGAAGAATATTAACCAAGGGCTGAACTGACAATGTTAGAAGTTGTTAAGCAGAGATCAAATGATGTCTCTTAAATAAATAATCCTTAGTCTAAGACAAGAAGTGGATGAAATCTTTAGATTGTGCTGACTCCTGTCAGCCAAGGACAGGAAACGGGTTACAATTAACACAGACTTACCAAAACTGTAAGAGTGGAAAAACATTAGCTGGTCTGAGTTCAGAACTTTTGGATGGTAGGGTCAGAATTGTGTCTAACATGAAAGCATGGATCTATCCTGCCTTGTATCAATGGCTCAGGCAGGTGGTGTAATGCTGTGCGGGATATTTTCTTTCTACTTTTGGTCCCTTAGTACAAAATGAGCATTATGCCAACACCACAGCCTACCTGAGTTTTGTTGCTCACCATCTCCATCCCTTTGTGAACACAGTATCCATCTTCAGATGGCTACTGCGGCATGTCGCTAACAGCTGATCATCCCAGACTGGTTTCTTGAACATAATGACTTCACTGTGTACTAAAATGGCCTCCACAGTCACCAGATCTCAATCCAAGAAAGTACCTTTTTGATGTGGTGAAATGGGAGATTTGCATCATGGATGTACAGCAGCAAATCTGCAGTAGCTGCGTGATGCCATGGTGCCAACTTGCAGCAATTACTCTGAATGTTTTCAGTTCCTTCTTTAATCTGTGCGGTGAATTATTAGGGGAGTTCTGAAGGCAAAAGGAGTTCCAGCCCTGTACTAGCAGGGTGTAGAGACACATCAGATGTTTACCTGATCTGGAACATGCAAATATGGCCCCAATTTCATGGCTGTGTAACTTAAAATGTCAATTAAACAATACATTAGCAATCCCAAAGGGAAATGAGGTTTTTCAAATGGTGGTGTAGATACTGTTGGTTGTAAACAGGAAGGATATGTTGCAGCCATCTGGGATAATCTGACTAAGGATGCTCTGTTGTACAACAGTCTGAGGAGGAGGATCCTCGGGGTTGTCTGTAATGTTCCAGATTTTAAAAAGAATTATTGTAAAGTGATGTTTAGACATTCTAGAAGAGTCCCCAGAACAGCTGGCTTTGCTTATTCCTATGTCGATCTTCTTTAAGTCAATTGCTGTGACACCACTACCCCATCAGATGATGGCTGAAGAGATGACACTCTCTATAACACAGTTACCAATCCTGTACGTACCATGATGAACAGAGGTTTAAAGCTCTAAAACTGCACCTGTGCAGCATGTACTCTTGTTGGTTTGTCATTTTTAACAACCTCTCAGAAAACATAAATAAAAATGCAAATATAAATGTACAGCTGGAACCTGAGTTAACAGCAGTCAGAAGTATCTGAAGTGAATTTTCTAAAAGAAGATTTGATTTGAGGAAATGTTGCTATTGCTGGGACAAAATCCAAAATATAGCTGAATATCTGTCATCTCACCTTTCAGTTAATGAGCTGCATATACTCCAGGTAGTTCCTTCAGTTTACATGCAAATATGAAACAAAACTGCAGCTTCGTCTGATAAATCCCTTTTCCACTTCCATCACTTGGATTGACAAGTTTCTTAATATGGAAAAGCCCTCAGGAAGTGAGGGACTGGAAGGGACTCAGGAAGTTTTCATGTTTAACATTGTTATGGTTACAAGCCTGACATCTCTGCACAGATACAGTATCCAGTACAGGGAGTGACCTTTTTCTACAAAACAATGTATCTGGCACCAATAAGGTTCAATGAGATCAACAATGACTGTGACATAATGGTGAGCGCTCCAACTTCCCCAGAACTCACATCATTCTAACATCTGTAGGAAGTTGAGAGGTTCCTTTCTACTCCCACTACAATGCAAAAACGTTCAGTCTCTCTTACAGGAAAACATAGCAGATGGATCACAATCGTTTAACAGTAGGGTTTAGTTGTTATTGTTGTTCATGGGAGTCTTTTAATTTTTCTTTTTTGTTGAACAAATTTTCAGTTTCCTGGCCTTACAAGGATTGGACAAACATGTCTAGAATAGAATGTTATTCTTTTTTTGCTTGACGATTTTAGGAGAACATTCTTTAGGTAATGGTTGTCTTATACAAAACTGATTAATGTATCTCTTGGAGACCCAAAAGAAAGGGTTAGTGTTCTCCAGAGCTTATCTTTTCTCTGGAATGAGGGGTTTCGGGGCCTGGTAGTGATTTCTTAAGGAAAGGGTTCAGTGGGAGAAAAGTTCATGACAAACAGGCAGGAAGCGGTTCGAGTCGAAAGATATTCTTGTCTGTTGGATATCTCGACTCCCAGCTGCATCCACTTAAAGCTGGACAGTCCTCTAAATCTAAATAAATATCCTTCAGCAGTATGTTGTATTTGATAATAAAAAAGACTGTTGTTTTGACTGCACTTTTAAGCAGCTGATCCAGAGTCAAGACTAAAGCTGACAGGAGATTTATTTAAAAACTGGCTTTCCATTGGATTAAAGAATGCTTTATTCAAGTCATCCCTAAAGGACGCAGATATTACTGACCTTAAATTAGTCCTAACTGTGCAGAATTTCATACACTTTTTCTTTACTGCAGTTCCGTTTTCAGTTCTTTTTAAGAGCCTTTAAATGAAGAAAAACCATTGAAAGAGTACCTGTTTTTTTTTTTTTTTACAGTAATCAATATTTTAATATATTAACTTGGTGTCTCATTTTACACTGGAAAAGCGATCTACAAATAAATTAAAATTTCTTAATTAGGTGAATTTAGCCTTAATTTGAATAGGAAAATAAGATTATTTGCCAATGGAGTGAGTATTTTTACTCTTAAAATGAGATAATTAGATATTATGCACTTGAAATAAAACAATACAGTTGTTTTTTTCTTATTTTAAATGTAAATTCTTGTTCCATTGACAAAGGATCTCACTTACCTCCTCAAGTCAGAATTTTTTTTAACTTATTTTAAGAAAAAATGGCATGGATTTCAATTTTTTGCAGTGCAATATAAATTATAAATTACATTAAATGATTTATATGTTGCCCTGTACACTCCCCAGTCACCCTATTTGGTATATCCTGTTCAGTGGCTTGTTACACAAATAGCAAACAGCCAATCACGTGGTAGCAACTCTATACACAGTGAAGACGGCTTTTTAAGTTCAAATAAGCAATTCAATGTGGAAGAAATGGGATTGAAGTGACTGAATGTGGCAAAGGCATGTATTATAAAATTTTATCTTTAATATTTATGGAGAATGCTGTAAAAAGAATACAAATATTTTAATGAAGCAAGTGTAAGAGAATACTAGGAATGAAATTAGAATTGTATCCAAATTGAGCTTTAACAGACAAGAAAAGTGT